CTCATGTAAGACAATGTCGCAGCTTGCTTCTTCTTCAACGTTCTTTACCAATTTAGCCCGAGGAAGAACTTGGTTGTAACGAGAACGCATTACGTCTGCAATTATGGTGTTTCTCCTTCGAACAAGATGACGAGCAGGAATATGATAACAGAGGGTTGTGTAAATCGCGGAAGAGAAATAAAGAGAACATATATGATGCTTGCGTATTCTTCAACGAAATCAGATTATTGCTCGGTACCTACCGAAATCTTTCATTTTTCGATGTACCATGTAATAAAGGGTAGAAAGAGAGAAGAAAGAAGGAATGAAAGAAGCAAACTCTCTGGACGATCTGATATTTCAGGAAGGGAATATTAATGTCCGCGTGGACCTCAGGCAAAGGCAAAGCCAGGTTCGCGAGATTCTACAACGCCCTGTGCCGCCCTTTGTATGCCCACCAGCCGCGACCTACGTAATACCCCGGCACTCCATAAAGCTAATGAGTCACGGGAAGTTCCATGGGTTCTCTCGACTGGCAACAGGTGTTGGTGCTCATTTTCAGAAGCCTATAACTCGCTTGAACTATTCCTTTTCTGTTTGCCAATTTGCTCGCTAGACGTCGTACGAAACTTGACCTATTCTACGCTTACATAATGGTTAATGAAATTGACCGATAAGGATGGAAAATTATAATATCTCATAATATGTTAAGTTTTTAATTATATTGTCTCTTTTTTCTTTTTTTTTTTTCTTTCTTTCCTCACGTGATTTTCTTATTCTTGTAAACAAAAAAAAAGAAATTATGGAATAACCCGAAACTGAAATATCATCGGACGAAATTCAAGGAACAACTTTTGGCAAGGAATCGTATTTTAATGATTTGCATTGTCCGTGAAACGAAACGATTTGTAATTCTAAGAAGAGTAAAAAAGGTAAAAAAAAAGAGAAAGAAGAAAAGGAACATATGTATAAAGGTGAAAGGTCGGGATTAGCGTTGCTAACATGAGACCTGTGGAATAAAGTATCACGATGCTTATCCAAGGAACGTCTAGACGAGCTCATGAGTCATAGAAGTATGCGCGTGAAGGCTGTCGAGTGTTCGCTGCAAAGGATTTTAGATAAGAACGAGAGGTGATCGTTTAATTTCCAACATACTGAAATCGAGATTACTGACTATAACGCGATTCTACGTGTTATAATTTCTACGCGTATAAATAATGATAAAATGAAACAGCAAGCCAATGAGAATGTTTTCTCTGAACTCGAATATATAGAAATCTCATATCGAAACACGTCATCAACTTGACAAATGCAAAAGATATTTCATAGTTACATGACACTTTTGCAGGGATATAGTTGATGATAACGGGAAGATGTTGCTTCCTGGTCCAGCGAAAAAACCTACAGCATCTTCCGAGAGATGGAAGCACGATCTCTATGATCCTTCGTTTATACTACTCTTCCTTCCTGACCCTGATCTAACTGAACGGATAGATATTCGATATGATTAAAATTGACATAAATGTGTATATATATATATATATATATATATATATATATATATATACCTAACGTTGTTGTTATATATCTATTGCAACAATCGATATAATTTTGTAATACGAAATAAACGATATAAAATTTATTGCAATGACATTACAAAGTACGATAAAAATCATATACAAAAACAATCTACTTCTCAGATAAATTTATTATTTGTTAAAATTAAACGTTAACACATCGAAGATCATCTTGTATAGATGTCTTGCACCATCGTTATCAGAGCAACATTTTTCAAGATAACAAGAATAACTTCAACATAAAAGAATACTACTCGATTACACTCGAGTCAATATATATTATTTGTCATTAAAAAAAAAAGAAAAAAGAGAGAAAAAAAAAGGGGAAAAAAAGGAAAGAGCCTTGTAATAAGAATGGTTAAAAAATCATTTTGGATTGTGCATCGTCGATTATATACGAGATAAAATAATAAAAAAAAAAACAAAAAAAAACAAAAAAAAGGGAAGAAAAAAAGAAGAAGAAGACAAGAAGAATATTGAAACGAGTGGATTCTTCCCCCTTCCAAACGAAAGCAAGAAAGAGAACTCGTTTCCTTGTGACCGTTCCTCGCACGCGGCCCACGCGCCACACGATGCGGCCGCACCGCTCGAACGTTTCGAGCGGAATGACGATCTCACCCCCACCACCCACGCATACGACGCGCGCGGCACGCTCGTCCTCGAATAGCATTTAATGGTGGGGGTAAGCGTGCGCCAATGAACTCGCGTCCGTCGTACGCCGCATCGAATCTCGTATACGCGATTGGTCCTTCCAATTTTCTATCTCTCTCTTTTTCTCTCCCCTCTCTCTCTCTCTCTCTCTCATTCTTTCTCTCTCTTTTACGCATTAAAAGCGTCGTGCGTCCTATCGTTCTATCTCTCTCATTCTTACTACCTGGCACCCTTCCGTATCCCTTCCAAGCGTTAATCCTTCTCTTCCTGCGCCCTTTTCTCTCCCCACTCAAACCTTTCCATCCCCCCACTCTCCACGCCACGCTTCTCTCTACCTTTCAATTATTTCCTTTTTTCTCTCCACCACCACCGCCACCCTCTCCTCTCCCCTCCCCGCCCCTTTCGGATCATCCAAGACATGCCTAGTCGCACCTATCTACGAATGTATGTATTTACTTCTACGAACTACCCCTCTTTTCTTTTCTCCTCTTTTTCTTTTTCCTTCTTTCTTTTTCTTTGTTTTTCTTTCTTTTCACTTCGATCTACCACTTTTGCAAAAACCCTTATTGTCGTATTCATATATACGCGTATACTCACGACACACGTTTAAAGGTTATCGATGCAACATTTATCTTGATTTTTTCCCTTTAAAATCATTAATGTTTTTTGTTTTCCTTTCGTTTGTTTTCCTTTTCCTTTCTTTTTTCTTGTTATTTTTTTTTTTTCGTTTAACCCTGATGTCAAATTGATTATTATTTCTTACTGTATACAGACATTTGATAATGGTTCTTAAGAAGTATTATATATAAGCGTTTATAATGATAGCGCTGATCTTTGAATTGGTATTTTCGAAAAATGACTGACGTCAAGATATCAATAAAGTTGTAAAAAGAAACGAATATTTTCCCGGTTAAGAGATCGGCTCTCCCGTAGACATTGAATGTCACGTATGCTTTTCGTAAGACTGAAATGAAATTGCGATAATGATAATGGCATTATAAACTTCCACCGAGAGACAGAGAGAGAGAGAGAGAGAGAGAGAAAGGGATACAATGTATTTGTATCTTGTAAAAAATTTTGTGACGAAGGAATAAATGACGTGTAATACTCAAAGCATTTTGTTACCATAAATAAATTTCATACTTCCCCTCTAATTATTTCGCGGAGATGATTTTGCCGTCATTCGTTTTAATTGTAAGCAACGCTGCAAAAGTCCCAAGAAAAAATTGAATATACGTCTGGAGTTCACACATGTATGTATGTACGTGGTACATATTCGTGAGATAAACGATATGACGCGCGTTAATCAGTCGCAAAGATAAAAAGCAATTCGATTGGTGAGAAAGAGATAGTGAAAGAGAAAGAGACAGGGAGAGAGAGAGAGAGAGAGAGAGAGAGAAGTAGCCGCAGGCACGTGCCAGAGTGCGCGCGCGCGCGCGCGCGTGCGTCAGTTCAAGCGGTGGCACTCGGCTATTTTCGAAGAACGTGATATAAGACCCGATGACGTTGTTGGTAGACGCCGACGTACATATGCGGCTGACGTTCGAGCGTATGCGTGGTCGCTCGCTTTGAAATTACTATTGCCACTTCGATCGATCGGATACATCTAATACATGTACATATATATATATATATACATATACATAAATACATATGCGCAAATGATCAAGCCATCCGGTTTTAATGACCTTTCGATGCATAGTTAGATATATAGCCAGTTACGTAAAACGAAGGTTGCAACTATTGTTCTTTTCCTAAGATCCAAAAAACTTAATCGATATTTATTTATTTATTTATTCTCTTTTTATATATATATATATATATATATATATATATATATATAAAAAAAGAAGATACATTTTGTTATCCGATCACATTGTGAAATTTTCCAATTAATATTCCCTTTTTCATATTCGTCGTGTCTTTCAAACATTAGATTGGGATAATATACACCTAATGACGAATTTTTAATAACGATAACTTTACTGAGTACATTATATAATTTATTTCAATATAAAATATCGAAAGGCAACTTAACGTTTCGCTTAGAGTTTTCTATACTACGGGGGTTTTCAAAGTTTTTCCCTCAAGACCACGAGAGATGATCTTACAGTTTTCTCGAACAAAACGAGTATTCCACGAAGGTACAAAAACACCACCTCGCCTTGGTACCTGTCAAACAAAAAAAAAAAAAAAAAAAAAAAGAAAAAGAAAAAAGGAAAAAAGAAGAAGGAAAGAAAAAGAAAAGGAAAAGCGAAGGAAAAAGAAACAAAACGAGAAAGAAGGAAAATGGCGAGACAAGAAAATTACAAAGAACATAGTTCACGATAAGAGTTTTTAATCTACGACGAAGATTCCCCTCTTTCCTTCTCTCTCTCTCTCTCTCTCTCTCTCTCTCTCTCTCTCTCTCTCTCTCTCTCTCTATCTACTTCGATAAAAAGACGTCCGTTCGAAGATCAGAGGGGCGCGTGCGCGCGCGCGCACTATCCCCACTTGAAAAATTTCGCTGGAAAGGCTCTCGCCGGACTCGTGAAGGGGCCCGCCGGGGGTCCGTAGACCGCGACCGTCACGTCGCCGCGAAGAGAAGAGAAGAGAAGAAAAGAAGGAGTGTAGAGAAGAGGGAATGGGGAGAGTGGGGAACAGCCTCAAAGGCGACCGTCCGACCGACGGAATTTCAGGAGGGGCAGGGGTATGGCTAAAGCGGGGATGCGGGGAGGGAAAGGGTCCAGGTTAAACCGTCACGCGCAATCCCCACTACTTTGAGTTCTACCCCTACTACCCGCACTCGACGGGAACGAGCGCTACGTCGGCCGGCACGCTCCAACGTTGAACACGACAGAAGACTCTCGTTCTTCCTCGAGTAGTAGTCAGTCGAGCTCTGACAATCGCTTCGAGCAGTCAGAGACTACTACTATTAGTACTACTGTGCTTTAGACCGCCACGAGAAATAGAAGTTTCAACCGAAATACAGAGAGATAGATAGATAGAGATAAAGACATAGTGGACAAGAAGACGATCTTCCCTTTTTTCAACTTTGTTTGTTAAAAGGGAGAGACGAAGAGACGGAGAGCGAGAGAGAGAGAGAGAGAGAGAGAGAGAGAGGAGAGAGAGAGAGAGAGAGAGGAACAGTCCAAGTAGCAAACTCTATTTCTATCTTCAACATTCGTGATCACAGTGTTAGAAGAGACATCATCATCTTTACGTTTTGAATTCACTTGGATTAAAAAACAGTGCAGTGTGCTTACTCCGATTCTTCGAATCGAGCCTATTTTCCTTCATTTTCAACACTCCATTGAAATTCTGTGATAAGTCGAAATGGTGACCGGAGTGGGTGCTACGATGCCGACCGGCGGCGTCACCGTGGGCGCCACGCCGCCCACGCAACACGTACCTCAGGAAGCCGGACAACCACCCGCGCAAACTGCCACGACTACGACCACTACGAGAAGATCCGGAGAAAATCGACGGGTCAGTGTTCCCTTTTTGTCTTGGGGGGGAAAGAAAAAAAAAAAAAAGGAAAAAGAAAGAAATAAAATAAATATCTATCGCGTCGAGCGAAATTTATTTTCCGCCTAAGTGCAACTTAAACGAATTTGATTATATCAGATTTCTTTTTTTTTATTTTGATCTTGCAAAAATGTTCATACTCGTTGAAAATTTTCTTCCGTTCTATTTTTCCTCGAATCATCCATGGAAAACTTACAAAGCGAAAAGATAATCTTTCCCATCTCTCTTGAACCCGCACCTCCGTATACCGAATACCCTGTCTGACCTGCTGTTTCATTTCTGTTACAGAGCAATAAACCGATTATGGAGAAAAGACGCCGTGCCCGCATCAATAACTGTTTAAACGACCTGAAGACCCTTATTCTCGATGCCATGAAAAAAGACGTGAGTATTTGTACTATCCCATTGCTCCTGATTCATTAAAATTATCAACATATTGAATCAGAAAATTCGGAAGTTATCGTTTAATTTTCTTATCCTTTTTCTTTTTTCCTCATCTTTTTTAAAATCTTTGGAATAAAAAAAAGAAAAAATGAAAAAAAGAAAATGCGATTCGATTTGAACTGACCGAACCGTCGGCTAACCGTTCTCTGTTCTTTTTCTTTTTTACAGCCAGCAAGACATTCAAAACTAGAAAAGGCGGACATCCTTGAGATGACGGTGAAACATCTGGAGACGTTACAACGTCAACAGGTAGCCTTAGCCGCAGCGACGGATCCGAACGTTTTGAACAAATTCCGTGCAGGCTTTACGGAGTGTGCCGGCGAAGTTGGCAGGTTTCCCGGATTGGACGCATCGGTAAAGAGACGTCTGATGGCCCACTTGGCCTCATGCCTAGGACCAGTGGAAACGAGTAACAATCCTGGTCAAACGACGACGACAACGACGACGACGAGTACAACGACGACGGCTAATCAACAGCCGGTTCAACCAGCACCACCGACCACTCAACTGCAAGTGCATATTCTACCGCAAGTAGATACAACGCCGAGAATTCAGGTGCAACAATCAAATGGGATTTTCTTTACGAATGCAAATGGCACGGGTTTGCAATTGGTTCCAACGAGGTTACCGAACGGTGATATCGCGTTGGTTTTACCTGCCGGTGCTAAGGCAACACCAGTGACATCCCCATCATCCTCGCCAGCACCTAGTTCACCTTTACCTACTCTCATACCGATCCCACAAAGAACGGCCAGTACTGCATCAGCTTCCTCGTCGTCCTCTTCCTCCGTCGGCTCAACCTCCACCTCAGCAGCAAGCCCAGTTGCTTTCGAAGCACCCCCAGCAGCTTTCCGTGAACAGCAACCACCTACCAACGTCTATGTAACCGGCAATAGTCACCGGGACGTTGCTACCTCTCCCGCTAATGGTTATACCAGCGATCCCGAATTCGATCCTCGTGTTTATAGTCCACCTTTGCAAAAACCACTTGCCCTCGTAATGAGAAAAAGCGTCATGCCCGAGCTCGAAGACAAACCATGGAGGCCGTGGTAAAGTGCCGATCAGTGAGACGAACTTTTGTGCTATTTCGTTTGATTTTTTTTTTCTCGATGAACGGACATGTTCCTTGCGCTTGCGACTGCGCTTGCGCACGCTTATCTTTCTTTTCTTATTCCCCGTACGTGAGTTCATGTTGATCAATCGTACGTGGACATTGAGTTGAATGTCGATGAATTTTGCGCGAGTGCGTGTGATAAACTGTCGAACAAACAAGGCGGTGCCTTATCTAGTGCCTTACGAATAATACACGTACCACGTTCATGTGTCCTATCGAATTCGTTGATACGAATCGATAGGCGCGAAAAAAAATGATTAATTTCCATTTCGCGATGAGTTTAGAGAATTCTTAAGTTTTTTCTATTTTTTATTTTTTTTTTTTACTTTTTTTTCTTTATTTTTTTTTTCTTTTTTTTTTTGTTTTTTGTTTCCTTTCGTGTACATACCTTTTAGAATTAGATTTGTATTTTTAAGTGCCTTACACAGCAAGATCACCGATGTCTTCCATTCTGTTTAATTACGTTTTCTATTATATTTTTCTCGTCTACATATTTTTCTTCTACTTATTTCCCATCTCCTTTTTTTCCTCTATCTTCTTCTTCTTCTTCTTCTTTTTCTTCTTTTTTTCTTTTATTAAATTTTATATATATATATATATATATATATATATATATATATATATATATAGCGCTATTGGCACCCAATCGACAAGATACGATGCCAATCGACACAACCACGACTCTGTAGATTTACTATGTGAAAACTAAAAATGATCGTGAGAATATGTAGTATACGATCGAGCCGGATAAAGAATTGCGATTGTATGTGTGCGTGTGTACGATCCTATTTATATTTATATTTAAGTGCAAAGATGTTGAATTTATAATTATCTTCTATTTGTCAAAATAGAAAAAAAAAAAAGCTGACGCTTATTATTGCAAGAGTATCAAAATAAATGTTGATCTCTTTCGTAAACATTACGATTGTCTTGTTTCTCGATATTAATCCTTAAATAAATCTCAATATCCTTCACGACAAATTCCATGGAGTCCTATTTCCTGGAGTAAGTAAAAAAAAAAAATCAAATATTACTTGATCAAATAATTTTTTATCATTTAATTATCGAAATATTCGATCGATCATACATATATATATAGACGATAATGTTAAAATCTGATAACGATATTATCGATTCTGAACGAGAGAAGACTCGACGAATGTCTTGCGTCCTACTCGTTGCACGTCGAGATCAAACTGACCAAGACTGAAGAAACTTTTTCTACCAAAGCACTGCTGCCACCTTACGGCAGATTCTGATATTTCTGCAAGATCTGAAAGCCGTATTGGGTTTTAACAGGAGTCCCAAAATCTCTTCCCCCTTCCCATCTTTCTCTTTCTCTCTCTCTCTCTCTCTCTCAACATGGTGCGTTGGATCCAAGGGCCAGTATGTTTAGAACCTGCTGCCTTCTGGTGGAGCTTCTTCGAACACTTTGAGGCCCTTCATTGGGCCGGTCATTCCCTTGAAGGGAACGAATTCTTAACTCTTATGATAAAAATGTGCGTTCGAAGATATTAAATATAAAAATAAAAATAACAATTATTTTAGATCATAGAAAAATTGTTATTTCATGAAGTTAAAGAAAAGATAATGATAATGTTTAACCGATGACTATAAAACTCCTTGATCGTATCTTTCCAGAACACATTTCTAAGACCAATCACGTATGGCAATTATTATCGGCGTGTTAAACCTTTACCATACAAACAGCCATTAGTAATTTTCCATTAAAACGTCAACGTTGCTTGACTCAGATAAGACTTTCCACAAGCGGCTTAACAAAATATTAGTTATAGTAATCTCTCTTTTTCTCTCTCTCTCTCTCTCTCTCTCTCTTTCTCTTTCTCTCTCGATATTTTCCAATTCATTTTCCAGGTAAGGCAATGAAACATTTAGTTCTTCGAAAGTGTTAGGAATAGAAATAAGGAAAAAAAGAACAAAAAAAAAAAAAGAAAAAAGAACAAAAAAAAACTTTTGAGTCACGTTCATGCAAAGAAGAAGCCGATATACATAAATGCTTATGATAATGATTTCGAGCAGATGGCGAATAGCGAATCTCAAAGTGGTAAACTCCATAATCGACCATTTCAACGTAGTCTTTGCAAAAATCGACGAGACTCTCATTACCATAACGTTCTACTCATTCTCCAACTGTCTCTCTCTCTCTCCCTACTCATTCTCTCATTCTCTTATAAGCAATAGTAACTCATCTTGATTCTATCTCCGTCGAGCTCTCAGCAATTTGTGACCTGGACGAAGACGAGACTACCGTGCCAGGCGCAAAACATACGAATGACAAATTGCATGGCACCTTCCGTTTCTTCGACGAAGTTCTCATCATCTATCGTCGTCAACGATCGTAGCTACTCCTCCCACGTTTGCCAAGGCAAACGAGGGTCAAGGATGAAATATGCGAGTTCTGATAACTACGAGAAATTCCTTCTTTCGTCGGGTGAAATAAATATAAAAAAGAAAAAAGCAAAAGAAAAAAAAAGAAATAAAAAGAGAGAGAGAGAGAGAGAGAGAGAGAGAGGAAAAAGTACTCGCAAATATATACAGGCGGCTTATTTAATGTTCTAAGTCGTTTGTTAACTCCATAATACGCAATTTTACTTGAGAGGAAAAGAAAAGAAGAAAAAACTGTTATCACCAGTATTGATATAAAATGAAAAAAAAAAAAAAAGAAGAAGAAAGAAAGAAAGAGAAAAAGAGAAAGTAAATAAATAAATAAATCGTCCTATCACGTGATATTAATTTTCTAATCACTTCCATTTAAGAGCTCAAGAAACGATGGAAACAAACACGTACGATGAACCTAATCTCCGACTGATTTCAAGACTGTTTGCTATGTTAACCCTCGAAGGTAGAGAAAAAGGTAGAAGTAAACAAGGAATCAGTAGATCACGCGTTTACCGCCGGCAAGCCATGCGCGTCTCATTCTTGCGAGTAAACGAGGAGAAGTTAGAAGCATGTTTATCTGACCACTCGCTCGGTTATCGTGCGTTACGTAAAGTCTCCGACAAACAGGTCTCGCGACGGAATGAGAGAAAAAGATGGAAGGAAGGAGATAGCGATGTCTGACAAGACCGACTTCTCTCTTTCTCTCTCACTCTTTCTCACTCTCTATCTATCTTTTTTTTATATGTGTTACCCTCTCACGTACTGCGTTTAACCATTTCCTTAATGTATTTCGAACGCGTCGTCATTGGTTCTTTGCATAGCACACGGATCCAACCGCAATTACGTTCGTTCGTACATTCATGCGTTCGTTCGTTCATTCGTTCGTTCGTTCGTTCGTTCGTTCATTCTCCATTATGAATATTTTTCACTCGTATGACTGAACCCTAGAATAACCAAATCCAAGATTATTATCATTATTAACTAAAAATAATTATATATAAAAATATTCTAATACTATATAATAAATAATATGATATATTCCAATATATCATATTTGTGACTAATTCAAGCGATCGATTCAATTATCATCAAACATTTACTGATAAATATTAAAATTAAAAACAATAGTATAAGTATCTTTGTCTGCTTTAACTATAACTCGAAATATCAAAATGTTCTTTTTAATGCTTTTAATTTATGCGACTATTAACATATATTAATTGAATTTCAATTAGATGGGTTTTTCCTTTTAAATTCGGAAATGTCATTTCCTATATTTCATACATATATATGTGTGTAAAAAAAAAAAAAAAAAAAAAAAAAAAAAAGAGAAAGGAAAGTATAGATATTCATTTGAACGACTTAGATAATACGTTTACTATAGAAGATAATGTAGAATTCTATTACAATGTTGGATAATTCCCACCTGTTTACTAGTAATATTGGTCACAACGTATGTTGACCGTATATATTGGTATAGTCCGCTAAACGACCAGCCGGAGACGCATCACGCGGCATGAAATTATCATTGCTATAATCGGGCAAACGCAAAGGTCAATTACCGATAGACAGAGACGGAAAGTTTCACGATCGCGAATAAGTGTCCGCGTGCTTTGCTCGATAACGTGGATAATGAAACGATAGGGAATTTGTAATACTATCACATATGTATATATGTATATATATACATTTACATACATACATATATATATATAATACCTATATATATATATATATATATATATATATATATAAATTTACATGATCTTTTGCACTGAAAAATCAAGATATTCTGTTTAAATGTTTTTCAGACCGGCGATGACTGATTATTTTTATATATTTAATTACACCATCAGTTGGTATTATTTAATTACGCTCAGTGTTATAGGAAGGAAACAATGTAATTCTTTTTTTTTCCACCTCTTTCCTCTAAATTCCAATTAAAATCAAAGGAAAAATTATCCATTAGTAACCTAAATGGATGATATCCATTAATTTCTATTTAATCTCAAATTATTTATCATATATCATATCACATAATTAATATAAATAAATAGAAATTAATAATTCAGATCGTTAGATAATTAATATTTAGTATCATAATTAACGGAGTAATTTATTAATTAGTATATATCTATATATATATATATATGAATATATCTCGATAGATCTTATCGTTTTATTAAAACAACGAAATGTAAATTTTCTTCATCACTTTTAAGAATCTTTTATCTCTAAAATAAAAAGTCATACGAAAGAGAGAAACAGAGAGAGACAGAGAGAGAGAGAGAGAGAAAGATAGGAAGAGAGAGAGATAGAGAGATAGATAGATAGAGAGAGAGAGAGAGAGTAAGAGAAAGAGAAAGAGACAGGAAGAATGACGGACGTTCTCTTACACGCGAGAAAGCGCGTTTAGTAGTAGCAAGCTACTTCGACTTGGCATACGGTCGCGGTCGCGTGGTTTCAAGGACAAGGCAAGGTTGACACGCGCCGTCGCGCTCGTGAACGGCACAAGTGTGGGGGGTCTCACGCGATCCCTCTCTTTCTCTCTTCCTCTCTTTTCTATTATTCGTATGGCTTGTGCTCGACGTCTCGTGACGATGTTAACTTGGACCGAACCGAGTCTGAACATCTTTTACTTCATCCTAAAAAAAAATCTTGAAATAATAATAATAATAATAACAATAATAATAACAATATTAATAATAATAATAATAATAATAATAATAATAATAATAATAATAATAATAATAATAATAATAAGGTCATATAAAAATTGATCTATCGAGTGAATGTACCCTATCAATCTTTTTTATCAAAAGACAAAGAATACTAACACACAAAGAAAAATATCTACATGTTCTTTCTCTCTAGACTTTTAAATTCTT